AGAATACACTCTGGCTGGGATGCCAGTGCTCCATGTGCACACACATTCACACACTGATTCATAATGAGCAATAAATTACTACCACCTGAAACTGCTACCCCCAGGTTTCTCCAAATGATCAACAGTGAGATGCTTTGCAATGCTGCAACCAAACAAACTATATTATATGCATCAGAACTGTTTCTAACATGCCCTTGACTACTTCTCCTTGCTTAGGGAATTTCTGTAGAAATATTGAAGTACATTACCTTTTATTTGTTGTGAAAGTTATTTCAGCCCACAGCATTCTGAGTCAATATTAGTAGGCAATTGAGTAGGTATCTTATTAAACAAAAAGTCTTATTAACACCATATGGGATGTCTAAGGTGGAAGCCCCACTTACAGTGGCAACTATCCCGATGAGGGAGAAATGTTCACAGAGTTCTGCTGGGATGACCTGAACGTACGCCGAACATTTATACGGAAGGTATCTTTTTTAAACTCTGGAAAACAAATGTTTCATATTTGTTTGCCTTGTTACCAATTTAATATTTTAGTGTACTAGTTTCCTGATGAGGATGTATATGTGCAGGTCTATGCCATCCTGGCACTCCAGCTCTCTGTCACCCTGGCCATTGTGTCTCTCTTCACTTTCTGGTGAGAAACAGAATTCTATTCATGGTGATTCATTGGTGTAATTCAAAAAGCGAATATATGTTTATTAAAAACGTAAAAATATGGCATAACTAAGACTCCATGAAGACTAAGTCATCCTCCAAAAGTCAAAGTCAGTAGCAGAGTCAGTAGCAAGAATCAGTAGCTGAAGAGATCCACAGCTCCATAAAGGCCAGCTTAATGAAAGAGAAAAAAGGCACATGAGTTTGCAGGAAGGTATAACATGACTTAGCAGACATGTGGAAAAAAGGTTCTCTGGTCTGATGAGAAACAATGAAACTTTTTGGCCTTGGCACAAACCCACAGTGCTCATCACCCTGAGAACACCATGTTCACCCCGCTGTGAAGCATGGTGGTAGTAGCATCATGTTGTGGGGATGCTTTTTTTTATTCAGCAGGGACTGGGAAACAGGTCAGAGGGCAAGATGGATGAAGTCAAATACAGGGCATTCCAAGAATAAAACCTTTTCCAGTTTTAAGAGACTGATGTTCACCTTCCAGCAGGACAACAACCCTAAGCATACTGCCAAGAACCTTAAAGGGATAACATGAAAATTGCTGTCTCCATTCTGACAGACCTTCAGTAAATTTATATCTGGGAAGACATGCAGCTGCAATTGCAGCCAAAATTGGTTGACCATGACTAGGAATTATTTTTAAAAAATTATTTTGCATCTTCGAATGTTTCATTTTTTGTGTAAATAAAATGGTAAAAATCTAAATTTAGGTCCATTTCAGTTCCAGGTAGTAACACTGGGAAAATTCAAGGTGGGGGTGAATACTTATACATGGCACTGTACTTTTAATCTGTATGTTCTTTTCTTTCTTTCTCAGTGATCCCATAAAGGACTATATTCAGTCTAATCCTGGATGGTACTGGGCAGCATAGTAAGTCATAAAATGGTGCAAATAAGTTTGAACATGTGGTTGCACCTTAATCTGAAGTTGTCATTTACAACTATTTGTTGTCTGTGTTAAGATGGTTGGAGCTTTCAGAGCTTTAGTCATTGTCAGTAATTTACTATTTGAATGTTAATGTATGATGCTAAAATGTTTCCTGCTGATTGACTATGTTTTATTTTCACCTACAGCGCAGTGTTCTTTGTAACCTACCTGACGCTGTCCTGCTGTGCTGGACCGAGGTGAGATTGTGGCACTAACACTGACAGATCAAATCATACACTTGGCACATTTCGCATACAAATGAGTCTTATTATAGAGCTTTAATGAATAAATTGGACCACTACGATTTTTACTCGTGACTCTCTTTCTATCTGTAACCATAGGAGGCAGTTTCCATGGAACCTGATTCTGTTGGCCATCTTTGTGAGTCCCAAAACAGTCTTTCTCCAATCTATTGAAAATAATCATTATGTAGAAAACACACTATCAAAACACAGTAACATAACTCTATAGTATATATATTTTTCTGTGAGAATACCTTAGGCTGTACAAACATTGCCAGATTAGCCTATGGAAGTCTAAGGCAGGGGATTTCCTGTGAAGTACTGGAGACATTGTCAGCATTCACTGTAATTTCTCCCATTCCAGACTCTGTCTCTTTCATATATGACAGGAATGTTGTCCAGGTACAGTATTCAAATAGCTGTATGTACTTGTGTGCATGTGAGTCTGTTTGTGTCCGAGTTTAGCATGTATATCTGTTTGGGTTTGTTTTTTTTTTTCCAGTTATTAACATACTTCAAATGGGCAAATATTTCCATCAGTCCCTACTAACATCATGACAGGACTTCATACTTGGTCATAAATGTCTCACAGTCTCACACATTGATGCACATTGTTTCCTTGTCTTCCATCTCTTTTTTTTCCCCCTACAGTTACTACAATACCAAGTCTGTGATGATCTGTTTGGGTATTACAGTCCTGGTCTGTCTAGCTGTCTCAGTTTTTAGCTTTCAGACAAAGGTGAGTACAATTAGGTTGAGTACGTATATGTCTGTTCGAATATATTTCGCTGACAAAACTGAGAAGAGAAAAAAACTACACTATATGGCCAAATGTATGTGGACACTCAAATAGCTACACTACTGTATATGGTCAAAGGTATGTGGACACCTGACATCATACCCAAACGTTGGCCTTCTCCAAACTGTTGCCACAAAGTTGTCCAAAATGTCTTTGTATGCTGTAGCTTTAAGATTTCCCTTCACTGCAACTAAGGGGCCCAAAACTATTTCAGCATTACAATGCTCCTGTGCAGAAAATGAGGTCCATGAAGACATCATTTGCCAAGTTTGGTGTGGAAGAGCCCTGACCTCAACCCCACTGAACACTTTTGGGATTAACACTGACTACGCATCAGGTCTTCTCACCCAACATCAGTGCCTGACCTCATTAATGCTCTTGTGACTGAATGAGCACAAATCCCCACAGCCACGCTCCAAAATCTAGTGGAAAACCTAGAAGAGTGGAGGTTGTTACAGCAGCAAAGAGGGAACAACTCCATATTAATGCCCATGGTTTTGGAAAGAGATGTTCAACAAGCACATGTGGGTGTGATGGTCAGGTGTCCACATACCTTTGGCCATATAGTGTAGTTTTCTACAGTGATGTTAATCATTTGATGCTTAGTACAGCTGATATAAAAAAAAAACAATGTATTTTTGGGCTTGTATGTTCCTGAATAGCTCGGTTGGTGGAATGTTTGATTTTTAATTCGAGTGTCCAGGGTTCAAGTCTCTATATGGGCAGAAGTGATAGTGTTTAACACACCATCCTGAAGCTTCTTCACATCTCAGAGCTGAAACACTGAAGCTGTTCACCTCAACCATAACACCGAAAATAAGACTTTAAAGAGATCAATCTATCTGTCTGTCTAATAATATTTATATGATCATTTTACCAGACAATCTTCAATAGATATAGAGAAGTTAAAACTTAATGCTGCATTTTGGGGGGGTGCCTGCTAAGAGATCATCTCTTGGATTAAATCAGTTGGCTATTTATTATTTTCTTAACTAGGTTCTAGTTACTTCTGAAGAAGATAAATCGTGTCAGAACCTTTTCCACCTTTAATATAGCAAACAAAAAAATTTAAGTGAAAAACAAATAGAAATGTTTTAGTAAAACAAAGAAAAAGAAAAAACTTACAATAACCTGGTTGCACAAGTGTGTATACCCCTTAACAAATACTTTGTTTAAGCACTTTTTGCTTGTAATATGGCATTCAGTCTTTTTGGGTAAGTCTCTATGAATGTAGCACATCTTGTTCTGGTGATTTTATTCCACTCCTCCTTGCAAAAACACTCTAGGTCTCTCATATTGTGAAGGGATCTCCTGTGCACAGCCCTCTTCAAGTCATTCCACAGGTTTGTCTTAGGATTTAGATCTGGGCTCTGATTGGACCATTTCAAAACATTGACCTTCCTTTGTTCACTTGGATTTGTGCTTTGGGCCATTAGCATGCTGGAAGGTGAAATGTTTCTTCTTCAGGCCTGCAGATTTTGTTCCAAAATGGATAGGTATTTGGAGCTATCCATGATTCCCTCTATCTTGATTAGAGCCCCAGTCCTAGTTGAAGAGACGCAGGTCCATAGTATGATGCTGCCACCAACATGCTTCACTGTGGGTATGATGTTCTTTGGGGGATAAGATGTCTTGTTTTTGCACCAAACATATCTTTTAGAATTATGCTCAAAAAGTTTACCTTGGTCTAATCAGGCTATAACACATTTTGCCACATGGTTTGGGGTGATAAAGTTGGGCTTTGATGTTCTTTCATGAGAAAGGACTTCCGTCTAGCCACCCAACCCCATAGCCCAAACATCTGAAAAATGCGAGAGATTGTTGTCACATGCAGGGAGGGACCAGTATTGTCGGAAATCTCTAGAGCTCCTTTAATGTTGTAGATCTCTTGGCAGCCTCCCTGATAAGTTTCCTTCTTGTCCTTTCATCTGTTTTGGAGGGGCGTCCTGTTCTTGGTAATGTCACTGTGGTGCCCCATTTTCTTCAATTGTTGATAATGGCTTTCATGGTGTTCCATGGTACATCTAATGTTTAGGAAATTCTTTTGTACTCCTCTCCTGATTGACATCATTGAACAATGAGATCCTGTACATGCTTTGTAAGCTCTTTGCAGACCATGGCTTCAGTAGTCAGATGAAACCAAGAAGATGTCAAGAAATTCCTACAGAAACAGCTGATCTTTATTTGGGGTTAATCAGAATCACTTCAGTGATGACAGCTGCATGATAATTACTTTTGAACATGAGTTTGAATATGATTGGTTAATTTTGAGCACAGTCACAGGCCTCACTGTAAAATGGTGTGCGCACGTCTGCATTATCATATTTTTTTTTTAAATTTTCTCTATGGGTTTCTACTTTATATGGTGGCTTAGTGGTTAGTACACTGGCCTCGCACTTCTGGGGTTGAGGGTTTGAATCCCACCTCTGTCCTGTGTGGGTGGAGCGTGCATGCTCTCCCCATGCTTTGGGGGTTACCTCCAGGTACTCTGGTTTCCTCCCCCAGTCCAAAGATGTTGTAGGCTGACTGGCATTTCTAAATTGTTTGAATGTGTGTGAAATTGTGCTCTACAACCTGTCCAGGCTGACCCCACCTTGTGCCACAAGACCCCTGGGAGAGGGTCCAGACTCCCCGTGACCCTGTGATAAGTGGTATGGAAAATGGATGGATGGATGGATGGATGTTTTTCACTTGAAATTTGTTGGTTGGCTATATCACATTAAAGGTGGAAAAAGATCTGACATGATTTATCTTGGTTTAATTCTTTACATCATGAAAACCTGCAATTTTAATAAGGGCGTGTAGATTTTTTTTACATCCAGTCTATTTTGGGAAACAGAACCAATTAATTCACTAGAAAAGAACACAGTTAGGTGCAAACAAGAATAATAACTATATAGTAACTGTATGACTGTATAATAATAATGGCAGGATTGGTCAAATATTCTTTTTTTCTTTTTATAGATTGATGTGACCTCATGTCAGGGTGTGCTGTTTGTCACGTTCACTTCATTCTTAATATGTGGACTGGTCCTGGCTTTTATTCTTCCCTTTGGCCATGTAAGTATCGATTTTCCACAGAAAAGAACACCCTGAATGATACTGGATTCATTTATTACCTGATTGCAGTACTGTTTGAGCTACAATTTTCAAGCTGTTAACCATGTAGGTTCCTTGGATGCACACTGTGTTTGCTGGGCTGGGAGCGATACTGTTCAGCATGGTAAGGCTCTACCTGTAGCTGAATGTTATGCATATACATATATATATATATATGTGTGTGTGTGTGTGTGTGTTTGTATGTAAATATGTGTGTGTGCGTGTGAAATTCAACATTGCTGATGGTGCTGTCATTTTCTTTCAAGTTTCTGGCTTTCGACACACAGCTTCTGATGGGAAAAAAGCGCTACACGATAAGCCCAGAGGAGTACATCTTTGCCACACTCAATATCTACCTGGATATTGTGTACATCTTCTCCTTTTTTCTCCAGATTTTTGGAAATCAGAGGGAGTGAGCCGAGCTTAACCCTGCTCTCCTAATTAATGCATTTCCAGGGCTATATGCAATGTGAAGTTAAATCTCACCCCCTTGTATTTTGGAGTGATTTGCCATCTTGCGAGAATCACAGTGTGTATTGTTATTTGCATTGCATTAGAAAGTCATAATACTCCAGTATTTTCAAGCTAATCTCTACCAACCAGATCTGTAGTTTGTTTGCGTGACTACTCCACACAAGAATAGAAAACTTGTTCATCCAAAGCTCACTTAGAAACCCACTAAGAAACAGCTACTGAATTACATTCAGAAATATTTAGAATGCATGAGGATATAACACAAATTCAAAACTAATAGTTACACTAAAGGTCTTAGGAAGGGAAACATGGGAGAAGGTCTTAGCAAAATTGCTATGTAGTTTTAGTCAACTTTCCAATACCAGAACAATTCTGGTTTGTTTTCTGAAGGTTTTGTAGTGTCCATGTGCCATCAGTCTGAAACTCGGGCCCTTTCATGTTTGTGTCTATGCAGAGAACACATAGCCACAAATTTCGATGTACAACAAATCCCTTTCACTGAAAAATTCACAAAGCCATTCAACCAAAACTTTCCACATAAACAGCCCTTAAATATATATAAGTAAATAAGTAGCCATAGCAAAGCTAATAATGGGTGAATGGTACTACTACTACTACTACTACTAATAATAATAATAATAATAATAATAATGCATATTTATGCTGCATTTTCTATGTGAGGCAAATCTCAAACTGCTACAGAGTAAAAATGATACATAAGATAAACTATGTTAAAAGGCTAAGTATTTTAAAGGCCTTAAAATTATACAAAAATATGGAAATGATACTAAGATATTAAAATGGGCATAATGAAATTTACTGAATTGCATATTGCATAAAAAGACATGACAGTGCTAATTAATAGGTCATAAAATATTAAAGGATATACTGATGCAAAACCACAAAATTAGCCATTTTTAAAAAAGTAACATTTTAATTACTCTCTTAAGCAAAACAGTAGTATGGCAGAAATGATCTAAAATCTGAATAATTAATAGTTATTGATTTGCTCCACTATATCAGAGAAAATTGTATTTATATATTGATAAACTATCCTAGCTAGGAATAATCCAGGAAGTGGATATTTTTTTAAAAAAATGCATAAAAAGTTTTTAAAAAAATACTTGATCAGTTATAATAATTAAAGCCTCCGCTGCTGCTGTCGTATTTGAGAATTTTGTAATAAGAAACACTGTGAGCCTCACAAGATGCAGATACCTTCCCAACACAATGCAGCGTGAGGTAACTCCATGTTCCCTGTAGCCTTCTTTCTCTGTTTAATTCCTATTTCTAGTTTGAATGAGCCTGTTCTCTCAGTGTTTTATTGTAATGTTTGAGTCCTTGAGCTAAGCTTCTCTCCTGCTCCAGTGTTTGCTCCACATCTTTATCCTGTAATTCTGAAGTAGGATGTACAGAACTACATCTATTAAACGATAGATGCAATTTAAATACAAGTGTGTGTGACAAAAGAAAAATGTGTTACTTGCATACCTGTACAGTGCCAGTATTTCCCATGTGCTTTAATATAAACTATGAAACTGAATACTTTTCTTGTGAAGGAAATTATGTTATATATAAAAAAAAATACCTAAATGCATAGAACCATCATAACTAGATAATATTCTTTAGGCTGTTTTCTGAAGCTGTATTTCCTCCTTGATAAAGGGCCCAAGGTTGATCTGTGTGCACGTCGACACGTGTATAGATAATTTCTGTCAAATGTATTTTGCGAAGGATGTATGCAAAGCTAATGTATGTTTTCTGCTTTTTCTAAAAACCTTATTCAGCACATGATTTGCAGTCTTTCACTTTCTCTCACTGGTGAATATGTTTCTGTTTGACCTGCAGTGGTTTCTGCAGATTTTCCTCACTGTCGGTACTGGCATAATTCTCATTAGCATGAAATGATATATTTATGATATTCTTTCTCAGCATTGTTCAGTTTTTATGTGAACTAACTCATCATAGCCTCTGCTTTTTAAAATTATTTTTTAAAATGAGACTGTAGTGAGGGGTCTTGACTGTGCAAGGTGGTTTTTACTTTATAGAAATGTGTAAAAATAATTACAAAAGTAGTTTTGATGGTATATTTATTTTTGATAGAAAGTAACAGAAGAATTGTGAAATGTGATGTAAATAATATAATCTTATGTGTCAAATGTTCATCATGCTTATAAGCCTGATGCCTATCTCTGAGACACGAATAAATAGCAGGCATGTTTTATTGAATGGTCTCTCCTATTGCTTGCAGTTTATGATATCTCTATTATTTATCACATTATTAATAGTTAATACATAAATATTCCTTATATATAGGAGGCCCTTGCGGTCACTTCCAGAATTATTGGCACCCTTCAGGAAAATTGGCTTCAATTATTATTTTAAATAAATGTAACACACAGTGGGTCAATTTTTTTTTTTCACTCAAACAACTGGAGAAATTAATTACCTCTTCTCTAACAAAATCATTCTCATAGTACTTTTTTTTTTTATTTAAAAAACATACTTTGCAAAATATTTGGCACCCTAAAGAACCTTTATTATAAAAGAAAACTCTGCTGCATACCTGGAAAATCATTTTGTCATCGTCACTATGGGGAACACCAAAGTGCTTTCAACACAAAAGAGACAGAATTTTATTGCTGCACATTTAAGGTAATGGATAAAAAGGAATATAGTTTAAAAAAAAACAGTTAGAAATATCATTAAACTTAAAATCTTCCTGGAAGCAGCCCACAAAATGCAGTACCTATACAATAGTCAGTGTAAAATGGTAGTGGATCACTGACACTTTTATTCTTGTGAAGAACTCTTCTAACAGAATATTTTAGCCCAAATCCTGGTACTTCTGCCAGGATGCTAAGACTTTGCTTTTGACAAAATAAAGACCCCAAACCTATATCTAAACCACGGAAAAATGGTTAAAGCAGCACAAAAATGGAGGCCGCGTCTATGTGGGTTTCCTCTGGGTTCTCAGGTTTCCTCCCACCTCCCAAAAACATGCTGGTAGGTGAACTGGCTATGCTAAATTGCCCCTAGATATGAGGACTGGCGTCCTAGTCAGGGTGTATTCATGTTCAGTGTTCTCGAAATAGGCTTCACCACAACCCTGACCAGGATACTGGTTACTGAAGATGAATGAAAAAAAGCTTGAATGATCACAGATCCAGGGTCTCTAGTTCAATCCTGAGCTAGGTTACTATCTGTTTATTACTCTCACAAGCCTGGATAGCTCTGTTGGTAGCGCATCAGACTTTTAATATGAGGGTCCAGGGTTCAAGTACCTGTTTGGGCAGATGTGAGGGCTTTAGTGGCAGTGGTGGCTGAACAGTTAAAGCTCTGGGTTACTGATTGGAAGGTAGGGGGTCAAGCTACTGCTGTTGGGCACTTGAACAAGGCCCTTAACCACATCTGCTCCAGGGGTGCTGTATCATGGCTGACCCTCCACTCTGACCCCAGCTTCAAAACTGTTTCACTGGCTCTGTACTTGTACTCTGCACAATGACAATAAAGCTAATTTGAAATGATTTGGTTTAAGTGTTACTGTATCATGAAGCATTTTTTTTAATGAGACAGAAATATACAAAGAGAAATATACAATCAAGAACAATGTTCCCACAAGTAGACAAGTAACTAAGCACATTAATTCCTCAATAAGTGTCAAAGATTAAGTTAAATTAAATAAATACATAATTAATGTATTTTCAGAAAAGGGGAAAGAAGAAAATAGGTGTATGGGTAATAGGTACTTCAGAATAAATCCTATTTTCTAATTTTTGAAAGAAGCTTACAGCCATTTCTACTTTTCATTAACACAAAAGCCAATGTCTCTTTTTAAAAATCCAAATCAGTGGAGGTT